AGACACCTGGAGATGAACCGAGGGACTCCGGCGAAATCCTATTGGTTTTCGCCCCGGCAATAACTGTGGCCCAGTATATTACGCTACGACACTGGCAGCGCCGCCGAACGGGCGAGTTCACCAGGTGGGCGCAGAGTTGGTCGGCTCCAACAGCATTCTCGCTGACGCCGGAAGCTCCTGACCATGGCCGCCGGCGCCCCCAAGACCGGTTGGGCATTCCCATTATCGGATGACGCTGGCGATTTTGGACGTGCTGGATAGCGCGCTGGACAACGCGGGCTTTCGACCGCGCGAGCGAATTCATCGTGGCCAACAGAACCGCATCGGCGAGGATGAGCGACAGCATTGCGCGAACTTGCGAGCGCGCGCGAGCTGCACGTGATCGCAAGAATTGGTTTGACCCGAAGAGGAACAGCACTTGCAGTCGCGGGTAGCGGCCTTCCCGACGGCGCGGCGCGTTCCCGTGTTTTCGGTGTTATGACGCTGGAATACCCGGCGGACATTTGCCCTTGGGACGACGTTCGCCCGACGAGTCGTCGACCCGCTGTTGAGAAAGCTGCCCGGTGGCGACGCCCGGTGCTGTCCGAACGCGGGCCTCCGATGCGCCGGCCAACTCGCCTACGTCAAGGGTGAAAAGGCACATGCGTTGACACGGCCCGGTCAATCGTCGAGGCGGCGGCGCCGATTACCCGGGCGATAGACCGGCTCATTGATTTAACGCCTCATTGGCGGGGGATCCGGCGGTTCCAGACGCATGCGAAATCGATTTCTACTGGCCCGTGGCCATCGCCGACTTACAAACGGCCATTATCTTCGACATCGTTCGCGGCGAAGCCGGCACTTAGTTGGGAGGCGGCGGACGTACGATGCCATGGTCGGCAATCGGTTTGGTACGGCACGGTGACAGCCCTGGGGGTTTTGCTCACATGCACGTCTTGGAAACATGCTGTCCGCAATGCATGACCGCGGGAACCAACGTATTTTGACCCGACCGTCGCAGCCACAGTGGTACTCCGGACGACGAGGGTAAGTCGCGAGTGTTCGCGCGCTGCCGCCTTGATATCCGACGCCGGGGAGGCGGTTGCCGTCCTGGAGATCGCGGAGACAAGCATAATCCGGTTTGAGCGGAACGGGTACCGAATTAGGTACGGAGAGCAGCGCCTTCGAGACTTGGTTCATACCAAGCGAGCGGAACGGGGCGAGCCCCACAATGAGGTCCGGAGTCCTGTGGCACCCGCTCAGGTGTGTGAACCGGCCCAAACTTCGCCGAACTACCACCGGCTCCATTCCGTCTTGCCCGGCATCGACGTTCTCTTCCCAAAGCGCACGCCGATATCCCACCAAGGTGGAGGAGTGGTAGAGCAGAGAGGGTTGTCACCGGCTACGCCGGTTGATGGAAGTAGTACGACACGACGGACGACCTCGGTGATCACGGTCATGGAAGACCTCGGATCGGCGCTGAGACTAAGTGCTCTGACGTACACGATTCTCGGCTTATTGATTGGTTGGAGTAACGTCCATAGAAGACCTGGCAGATCTCGTCCTAGAATTCCACGAAAGCTGGTCCGCCAGCTCCGCATGGCCACCAAAGTACCCCAACGCGCATCGGCGGCGGGTATCTATCGAGCGCTGTGGACATAAAACTACTTCCACCCATGCCCGGCCAGCGGCACGCTGGAGGCTTGCTCCTCGACGGCTCGGGCCTCATCGCGAACTAGTCCGCCAACGAACGAACTGCGCGAGAACCCCTGAAGATCACTCGCGGGCACCATTTTGCACTTCTCAGGCTTGCTCAGCCAACCCGTCCGACTTTGCCGGTGCCGGCCGATCGGAGTCGCCCGCTCCCTGACCGAAAATATCGAGGCGCAACCTCCGCGCCGACCCGATACATACGAATCACGCCAATGTTCAGGGCCTTTCCGCCGATGACGTCAGCGCGATGATCATCGCCCGCCCCGAGATCGCCGGCTTCAGGGGCCCACCGTCGACCGAGTGTCAGAGTGGAAGAGGAGGACTGGTACGCCGTCTCGATGTGATCAGCAAGAACGCTGTTGGACGATTTCTCCCACCTCGGGAGTGCGGGGCGTGGATATTGCCGCTGCCCAAGCTCTCTAACTGTCAAGGAGAGCCCAGGCATTCGACGGCTTTATGAGAACCGAATCGAGTCCTGAACGCGTCGTATAGATCATCATGCCTAAATGCCGATGAAACATCTACCTGTGCCAGCAGGTACCACCGAGCTGATTGGGGTTACGCCCACGATCACCCCGGCGCGCACGTTAAATAGGCTACCGACGCACGATATTGAGCCATGACCAAGTGGGAACGTGCCCCGCACCAATTATCTCCGACTGATCAGTCACCCACGTTGCGCCCGGCGTCCAGCGGATGTTCGAGTTGAACCCATCGGCAGGCCCCCGATACACGCGCATGTCCCCCCACACCAGTCGTTCTCCTGAAGTGAGACATTTGGTCGCGAGAAATGTGGATCCCAACATGTTCGCACCCACTTCGATCCCGATAGCAGCGTAACCGACACGAATCGAGGCGCACATATGGATCGCGCGACTCAGTTGGAATGGAACGGGCGGCACAAAAAACACCCCCCCCACCCCCACCACCACCCAAAACCCACACCCCCAACCCCACACCACCCCCCCCCCCCCCACCACCCACCCACAACCCCCACCCCCCCCAAGGACGGTTCTCCACCAAACTCTCACCTCGTGATAATGATCGCCACGCCGCGGTCGACCGGATAGCCGGCCTTGGATTCCTTCAGGACGAGCGAACGACCTGGCGGAGTTGGGTGGCTCGATTGCTCGGTGGGACTCACCTAGGAGCGCCTCAACGCGCCCTCAACCGCATTCTACCGCGACAATGACGAAAAGCAGCAGTTGTGGACGGGATTCCTGGCAGCATATGCCCCAGAGCCTGGAGCCGTGTACGAACCGTCCAGTGATCTCATCGACACTACCGCCAAACGCGTCATCGACGAAACCAAGACCCAGCACGGGAGTATCTCAGTGCGAATTAAGATGGTGCGCGGGTGGCCGACCGCCGAATCGGTATCCACCCGCACCATCGACCCGCTCGATCTCAAGTAAGATGCCACGAGACAGAATGAAGCGCCACCCGAGATCCTCTCGGCGTCGACGCCACGCCGAATCGTCCGTCCCGCAGATGAAGCGACGTTCGCGACAGGTGGAGAATCAGAAGTGAGCAGATTACGAAAAGCCTCTCGACGACGCGGACTTGGACGCTGGAAGTCCCCGAGGACGAACTGAAAGAAGCTTGGGAGATAATCCAGAGGGACACAAAAAGGACTAAAGTGGCCGAAAGAAGTATAAAAGAATACAAGAGCAACCCTAAGCGCGATGGGTTGAACCTAGCGGCGGTTTGGTTGAATTGGTGCGCACCGGACGTGTCGGGATGTGGACAGGCGGAACCGGCTTATCCGTCCACCTCCTGAATGCCGCGATAACGGCCCGCGTCGCCGGCGTCAGAGGGTCGTCCGGCGACGCCCCGTCGAGGGTCAGGAACCGTTGAATTCTACCGTCCTCCAGCTGACAACGTCGATCGTCGCGGGGCCGCGGTCTACCGGTGGTGGCGTGCATGCTATCGCCTTTGGCATCTATGCCACGAAAACCTCCGCACACAAGGGTCGACAAGATCTGCGGTCCCGGCAAACGTATTCGTCGCCTACGCCAAGCGCATGGTCAGGAGTCAGGTCGACATCGACGGACGTATGCGGCCAACTGAGACCATTCTCTCGCGGACGAGAGCGCGAACCGGGCGGGGTGTTACTGCGCCCCGCCGATCTCATCGCCAGGCGCCGAACACGATCCCATGGCCTCGGCGACATTCTCGTTGGACACGATCGCAGGAGAACCTTGATTTATACGTCGCTAGAAGCGAACTCTTGCACGGTCAGATTACGGTAATCCTCGTGCCGAGACCAGCCGGACACCATTCCCTCGAACGGCAAGGATGATCGTGTTTGTGGATGACTTCACCGAGGCCATGCCCGTGCACCATATCGCTCCCGACACTCTGCCTCATGGTCGCACACCTCTGGGCACTGGGCCGGTCAGGTCCGCAACGCCGGCAGGCCTCTTCCTGATTCTCGCCCGAAGTCATGGCGATTACATAGCGACGCCGGGTCCTTCCACGTCATGCCACCGTGGAACCGCGCGCTTCAGTCGCCTAAGCGTCCACACACTTCTGCGCACCAGGCGGTGAGCGGGCTCAGCCTACAACGGTTCACGACCCTCAGGCGCGTGCCGCCGTCCGCAGCGCTGAAGCCGAGGCTTCCGGGCACGCCGGCGCGGTGCAGGGCCCGCCTGACCACATCGCTGCAATGCAAAACTCGTCTAACCTATTTGGGAACACCTCCCATGCCTGAAATTGAAGAGCGTCTCCTTCCCCACATCAGCCGCCTGAAACCTACCAGGCGTGTCCCTAGCGAAACGCTGGCCGAGGAGTTTATCCCCTCGAGCAGGTCATTCGCTGAACGGGAACGAAACCCATACGGACCTCGCTCAAGTCGCGGCGGCCCTGGGTAGTCAAGCAATTCAGCGCGACTACAACTCATACCCGGATCATCCCAGCGCGCCGGCGTGGGGCCTGTCGATTAACTCGGCGTTGCCTGAGGAGGGAACATCGTTGCCGGGTATAATGCAGCGACGAGATCATCGACTCTGATGCGCAGTGTTCTCGCCCCCGGCGACGAATCATCATTCCGGTGCCCACCTTCGGCATGTACTCCTCTCGGCGGATGTTGGGCGGAAGGGCCAGCCGATGGCCGTCCCGCGCGATGACAATTTTGACATCGACATTCGACGCATACGGGGCGCTATCACCCGCGCACCAAGGCGATTTTTCTTCCGACCCGAACAACCCCACCGGCAACGTGGTCACCGAGGCCAGGCCCGCGCCCTGCTGGACAACCGCTGCTGGTCGTTTCCGACGAGGCGTATTACGACTTCTGCGGCCAGACCATGAAGCCGTTGCTGTCCGAGTACCGGAACCTCGTCGTTCTCCGGACCTTCAGTAAGTGGGCCGGCTTGGCTGGTCTCCGCATCGGCGCCGGCGCCATGGATTGCCGAGCTCAGCCGCGCACCATGATGGGCATGAAGCCGCCGTACAACGTCAACCTCGCCGCCGAAGTCGCCCTCCTGGCCTCCTTGTCCGACACCGGCATCCTCCTGGATCGCGTCGACGCCATCGTGAAAGAACGCGGCAGAATGTATCGGTTGCTATGCGAAATCCCCGGGATCACCGTGTGGCCCTCCCAGGCGAACTTTATCCTTTGCAAGATGCCTGATGGTCGCGGCCTGGAAGTGTACGAAGCCATGTGCCGGCGCGGGGTTTTCCTGCGCTACTTCGACAACGATCTCCTGCGCGACTACATCCGCTCCAGCGTTGGCAAGCCCGAGGAGACCGACGCCGTGGTCGCCGGCTTCCGCGCTGCCCTCGGGGTGGACTAACATGGCCCAACCCGACCAAACCGCGCGCGTTGCCAATCTGGAGCGTTCCACCGGCGAGACCACGATTTCCGTATCCGTGGACCTGGATGGACAGGGCCGGTATGACGTTGACACCGGCAACGGTTTCCTCGACCACATGGTCAGCCAGATCTCGCGCCACGGCCTTTTCGACATCACGCTGAAAGCCGAGGGTGACACCCATGTAGGCTGGCACCACCTCGTCGAGGATACCGCCATCATGCTGGGACGTGCCTTCGGCCAGGCCCTTGGCGAGCCGCGCGGCATCCGTCGCATGGGACACGCCGTGGTCCCCCTGGACGAAACCTTGGTCATGGTGGCCGTCGACTGGAGCGGCCGCCCCTACGTTTCCGTTGACACGACCCTGAACGACAGCATGGTCGAAACGCTTTCCGGCGACCTCGTGGCGCATTTCCTCGAATCCTTTGCCATCGAGGCCCGTATCAATCTGCACGCCAGGGTCCTCGCCGGCGTGAGCCCGCATCACAAGGCCGAAGCTCTCTGCAAGGCGCTGGCCCGCGCCCTCCGCGACGCCGTCGAGCCCGATCCTCGCGCCGCCGGCCAAGTTCCTAGCACCAAGGGCACACTGGACTCCTGAGTTCTGCCCCGCCGTCTTCTGGCGTTTTTTGTTTCGGTGAGGGCCGCCGGGTTGCGGCCGTACTGTAGACCGAGGGACCGGATGCTATTGGCTGGTTGGTTCGCGTATAATGCGAGTGGTGGGAGCTAAATGATCCAGTCCCGACAGGAGGGAGCCATGCCGATCGTTCAAAGTAGCGTCCATAGTGTCAACCGGGTTCTCGTGAACGTCTTGGACAAACCGTTCGTAGCCCGTGTACTTTCGCCGTTCCAGCCCATCGCCAACACCCTGACCACACGCTACCTGGACTACGCCGTCCCCGGCGACTCTCCGCATTCCGCGTCTCCCGTCGCCTACACCATCATTGACGCCGACGGCAACACTCGGTGGAGTGGCGATACGGCCGAACTCGTCGAAAACCCCGAGCACCGGCATCGCAACGCCCACTGAACCTGACGGTTACGTGCAAAAAAAACGCTCCCCACTGCGGGGAGCGTTTTCGATTCTGGTAACCGTTTCCCGTTATGCGCCGCGCACCGGTCGTCCACGACGGGCCAAGAATTCCGGGAACGCTTCTTCCGCCAGGGTGCCCCGTAGTACGTTGGTGGTGAAATCCTTTTCGTTCATCCACTGCTGCTCCAGGCTCTCGCCCTTGTGCTGCAGCAGGAGTCGCTTGATGCCTATCACCGAGGGCGTATCGTTGGTGGCGATTTCGGCGGCCATCTCCATTGTCTTCTGCCGCAGCCGGTAGGATGGCACCAGGTGGTTGAGCAATCCGATGCGGTACGCCTCTTCCGCTTCGATGATCCTGGCCGTGAACAGCAATTCCTTCGCCTGCGGCCAGCCCACCTGGTTCGTGAGCGTCCACGTCGAGTTGATCCTGCCGTACGCCGCGGCCAGGAACCGGAACCGCGCGGCGTCTGAACCGATCCGGATGTCCAGCGACGAGGACAGCACCGCGCCGCCGCCGTAGGCCAGCCCGTTGATCATCCCGATCACCGGCTTATCGGATGCGCTGACCTCGTAACCACCCCTTTGCCGGCGTGCCGAGCGACTGTCCATGGCATCCGTGGTCAGCGACCCTGAGTTCAGCGCCGCCTGGTCCTCGCGCTGCTCGTGGATGTCTCCGCCGGCGGTGAATGCCGGGACGCGCGGGTGCGTGTCGGCGCCGGTGACTACAATGCACCCGATCTCGGGGTCTTCGTTGGCGCACCTTACGGCGTCGTGAAGCTCCTCGGTCAGCTGCCGGTTCATGGCGTTGAGCACTTCCGGCCGGTTCATCGTCAGAAACGCCACATGACCGACCTTTTCGTGACGCCGGTCACCGCTGCCCTCCCACTTGGAGACACGCTCTTTTTCTGACAGAATGTACTGGTAATCCATGGGATTCGTTGCTCCTGTTGCGCTGTTCAAGTGGCCGCATTGTATGTGTAGCCGCCGGCCCTAGTCAAACCGCCCGATTGACAACCCATGCCGTCGCCCCGATCATGCCCTCAGGTACTTGGTCATGATCTCTTACGACTCCAGCCGTCGCATTGTCCGCCCTCACATGAGGCGCTGGTCGGTCGTCGCGACCTGTGCCCTGTTCATCTGCCTCGGTCTGTTCGGCCTTGCCGGCCCTGGTACCCGGGTAAGTGCCCAGGCCGAAACCGTCCTGAATGTCCGTGTCGAAAAGACCATCAGTCCGGTCAAGGTCCGTGTGATCAAGCGCGCCGTGGACCGGGCCAACGAAACCGGCGCTCAACTGTTGATCATCGGCCTGAATACCCCCGGTGGTCTTTACGGCAGCACTCGTGAGATTGTCGAGATCCTCCTCGGATCCCCCGTCCCCGTCACCGTGTTCGTCTCGCCGCGCGGAGCTCAGGCTGGCTCTGCCGGGACTTTCATCACCGCCGCCGGCCACGTCGCGGCCATGACCCCGGGCTCCAATATTGGCGCCGCCACTCCCGTTTCCGGCTCGGGCGAGGAGATCAGTGAGACCCTAGCCGACAAGGTCACCAACGACGCGGCCGCCCTCATCCGCGCCATCGCTGAAGAGCGTGGCCGGAACGCCGATGCGTTGGAAGAGACGGTGCGCTCCGCTGCCTCTTACAGCGCCACCGAAGCCCTGGATGCCGGTATCATCGACCTGATTGCCGATGATACACCCGCGCTCCTCGCCGCTCTGGACGGCCGGTCAATCGCTACCGTTTCGGGCGAGCGGACGCTGGAACTCGCTGACGCCGAGGTGAAGGAGCTCAAACTGCAGTGGCGAGAGCGTTTCGTCGAATTCATCTCCAATCCCAACATCGCCTTCCTCCTTCTGTCTCTCGGCAGTATCGGACTGATCATCGAAATGCTCACGCCGGGCGCCCTCGGTCCCGGCATCGCCGGCATCATCTGCTTGGGCCTGGGGTTTCTGGCCCTGGGAAACCTGCCGTTCAACTGGGCCGGTGTGGCGTTCATTCTATTGGCCCTCGTCCTCGCGGCTCTCGAAATCTTCGTGTCGGGATTTGGTGCGTTGGGGATCGGCGCCGCGGTGAGCCTTGTGGTCGGCGGACTGTTGCTGTTTGGCGACTTCGGAGGGGGCCGCATTTCTCCTCCCAGTTTCCCTTCGGTGTCGGTGAACCGTTGGGTTTTGGTCGGGGTCGCTGGTGCGCTGCTCTCGGTAGCCGGCTATTTGGCCTACGAAGTGATCATGTCACGACTGGGACGCAGACATTCCGGCTCCCGAACCTCCGGCAACGATAGCGATGGTCGCAGTTCGCCCGGGCATCTCCTCGAGCAGACCGGCGTCGTCACCATGCCCTTGCAGCCGCGGGGCGTCGTAGCCCTGGGCAATGAGACTTGGACGAGCATCAGTAGCGACGGCCTGACGATCCCCGCCGGTCGCCGCGTCCGTGTGGTCGCCGTCGATGGCTTGGTCCTTACCGTTGAGGCTATGGGGGGACCATCGACCGTCGAAGGCCAGGAATGATGCTAAAATGCGCCAACAACCCACCGTTTGCACATCCACGATGAAGGAGGCTTCGTCATGGCCGCAGGGATCGTAGTCGTTCAGCAATACCAGCGCATGGTCGTCCAGCGGTTCGGGTCCTACGTAGGCACCCAAGGGCCCGGACTCCGTCTCCTCATCCCCATCCTTTATCACGGTACCAAGGTGGACCTGCGCGAGCGTGTTACCCGCGTGCCCACCCAGAAGTACATCACCGCGGACAACGTCGTCGTGGACATGGACTTCGTTATCTACTACCGCGTGATGGAAGAATGGGCGGATCGTGCCGTTCTGGAAGTCCAGAACTTCGAGGCTGCCGTAATCAACCTGGCCTTCGCCACTCTGCGGTCCGTCATCGGGTCCCTGGACTTGTCGACCACGCTGTCGGAGCGCGAGCGCATCCGCGACGACGTGCAGGTACGGATGGATGAGGTCACCAGCCGCTGGGGGGTCAAAGTTTCCCAGGTTGAAATCAACGAGGTCGATCCGCCTGTGGGCGTTAAAGCCGCTATGGAGCGGCAAAAATCCGCCGATGCCATCCGCACCGCCGAAATCACCGAGTCCGAGGGCCAGCGCCAGGCCGCGATCAACGTAGCCGAGGGCGAAAAACAGTCCGCCATACTCAAAGCGGAAGGCCAGCGTCAATCTGAAATCCTCCAGGCCGAGGGCGACCAGCAGGCTGCGGTCCTGCGGGCTGAGGGATTTAGCGCCGCCCTGGAGCGCATCTACACCGTGGCCAGCACCGTGGACGCCCGCACCATGAGCCTCCAGTACTTCGATACGCTCAAATCACTGGGCTCCAGCCCTTCCACCAAGTTCATCTTCCCGATGGAGTTCACCTCCATGCTCACCCCCTTCCTCGGCATGGGCAGCATGAACCAGCAGGACAGCGGCAGCGGCAATAACCGCCCCAACTCCGGCAATGGTTCCGCCTCTGATGGCGAAACCCGCAACTAGCCCATACGACCAAACCCGTATCTCTCGAAACGGGGCAACCAGCACGGTTGCCCCGTTTTTTGTGCCGCCGCTGCGTCCTCGGATCCGTTAGTGGCCGGCTGCTTCGCTGGCGAATTGCCCGAACTCCGCACCCCGCAGCAACCCCATCGCCGCTCCGTATGGCTCCGCCGTCTTTCCGTCGATCTGCCTCAGCAGCTCGCCCAACTCCGCGTCGTCATCCAGCCGTTCCCGGATCCGCCGGTACAGTTCTTCCTGCACCGTTTCCAGGAACTCCGACCGCCGCCGCTCGGCCCGTCTATTGTCCAGTCCGCCCGTGTCGCTCAGGTAGTCGCGGTGGGCGATCACGCTGTCCCATAGCTCGCTGATCCCAACACTCGCGTAAGCCTGAGTCAGCAGCACCGGTGGGTTCCATCCGTCGCTGAGGTCCGCCATGTGCAACATTGCCGTCACCGCCGCGGATAGATGATTGGCTCCGTCCCGGTCGGCCTTGTTGATTACATAAAGATCGGCGATCTCCATGACGCCAGCCTTCAATGTTTGTATTGAATCCCCCGACTCGGGCGTCATTGCCACCACCACCGTGTCCGCAACGCCCATGATCCCCAGTTCCGTTTGTCCTACGCCCACCGTCTCTACTAACGTCACATCCTTGCCGGCCGCATCCAGTGCCCGGACCATGCTCTTCACGATGCGTGGCAGTCCCCCGGATTGTCCCCGCGTCGCCACGCTGCGGATGAACACTCCGTCATCCAGGTAGTGCCGTTGCATTCGGATCCGGTCACCCAGCAACGCCCCGCCGGTAAACGGACTCGTCGGGTCAACTGCCAGGATGCCCACTGTCAGGCCCAATCCGCGCAGGTGTTCCGCCAAACGGTCTACCAGTGTGCTCTTCCCGACCCCCGGCGGGCCGGTGATCCCTACCGCGTATCCCGCTCCGGTATGCGGGTCCAGTCGGGCCATCGCCTCTGCCGCCGCCGGATCGCCGCGTTCCAGCAGGGTCAGGACCCGCGACAGCGCGCGCAATTCGCCGTTGAGCACCCGTTCGGCCAGTTCACTCATGAAACATCCACGCGACGAAAATCGTAATAAAAGCAACGAAACACGTCGGTCAATTTAGCACCGGCCCGTGCTTGGGTCAAGGACGGCATGTGCTTCTCCCTTAACAACTCCTGTCGCAACGGTTATCATCTTGACGCTCCAACATTGACGTCTGAACCCAGAGGTGACCTCCATGACTACTCGCTCCGACACCCTCCAGGGCCGCATTGCCATCGTGACCGGCGCCGCCAGCCCCATCGGCATGGGCCGCTCCATCACCACCGGCCTCGTCCGCGCCGGCGCCCGCGTCGCCATGCTCGACATCAACCAGGACTGGCTCGACCAGTCCGCCAACGACCTGCGCGAAATCGGCGGCGACGACTGCGTGCTTCCGATCATTGCCGATGTCACCGACCCGGAGTCGGTACAGAACGCCGTGCAGCGCACCATCAGCGAAATGGGCGGGCTGCACATTTTGGTCAACAACGCCGGCATCAACCCTCGCACCGCCGGCTTTGGCGGCAGCTCCTCCGGCAGCCGCACCGGCTTCGTCGACATCGTACCCGACGCTTGGCTGAAGGTCATTTCGGTGAACCTCAGCGGGCCGTTCCTGATGGCCCATGCCGTGGCTGGTCACATGATCGAACAGGGATATGGCCGCATCATCGGCGTCACCACCAGCATGGACACCATGTGGCGCAAGGGTGGCGCGCCCTACGGCCCGTCCAAGGCCGGGCACGAGGCGCTGGTCGCCATCATGGCGCAGGACCTTGAGGGCACCGGCGTCACCGCCAACGTCCTGACCCCAGGCGGCGCCACTGCAACCAACATGGTGCTGCCCCCTGAAGGCTCAACGGCCGACGCTCTCATTCAGCCCGAGGTCATGCAAGCGCCGGTAGTTTGGATCGCCTCTGAAGATGCCAGCGACTGGAACGGCCGGCGCATTATCGCCTACCACTGGGACGAATCATTGCCCCTGGAAGCAAGGCTCGAAAAGTGCGGCGCACCTGCTGCCTGGCCTCAGCTCGGCCTTCAGGCGGTCCACCCGGACTGGTTTGGCCGCGGCTGACCGCTACCGCCAACCCGCAAAAGCGCAGGGGCGAATTATTATTCGCCCCTGCTTGTTGCGCTGTATGGGTTACCCGACATCAGTGTCGGAACCCGGTGTCAAACCCCTGAGCGTCGGGGTTGATCAGCAGGTCGGGCCGGCTGCCCCAGCGCTTCAGGAACCGGCCGAAATTCTTCCGGCTCAACTCGTCCCGCTGGTTCTCGTCCAACTCTTCCCACTGCCGGTGCTCGTGACGCACCAGCGGCAAACCGCTGTCGCAAACTACCCGGTATCCAGCGTTCTTGAACTGGAAGCAGTAGTCGATGTCCAGGTTCCGGTAGAACCGGAACGACTCGTGCATCAAGCCCACCTTGGGCAGGTCGGCCCGCCGGAACGCCATGCAGTACGCCTGCATCGCGTCCGCGTCGCCCCGTTCCACTTCCTCGTGGAAGTGCTGCATGTCGTCGGTTGTCAGCCCGTAAGGACCAAACACCCCGATAGTGTTGTCCCCCAGGTGTTCGGCCACGGAGGAAAGGATATCGCCAACCACCTCGGTCGACGCGTCCAGCAGCACGATGAATCGGCCGCGCGCCTGCTTCAACCCGATGTTCTTGCCGGCGGCGTCGCCCACCACGTGGTCGCAGTGGATCACCCGCAAGTTGGAGTGTTCAGCCTGCGCCTCTTCCAGGTAGTCCGCCGTGCCGTCCGTGGAGCCATTGTCCACCACGATCACTTCGGCTGAGGCGCCGCCCGTGTATCGTAGCACCGCCTGTACGCATCGCCGCACGTCGTCCACATAGTCGTAGGCGTTCACCAGGAAGGTGAAGTCGTACAGGTCCGGCTCATCCAGCAGCGACGGCACTTCGCGCGATGCGGACACCGACGACCACCGCGATTCTTGCAGCTCGAGAGGTGTCTGAGGACGCACCCGCGTCGCAACCCCCGCGTCCTCAACGACCATGCCGCTTTCCGTCATCTGCGATCGCAGCGCGTCAGCGTCGTTGTACGCCGCCTGCTGCCGCAGCGCGGCCCTGCGCTCCATAGTTTCATTATTTTGTGATCCGATCTCGTAGCGTTCAGGGACCTCGGCTAGGTCCAAACCGAAGACGCGATCGAAATCGAGGATCAGTTCCAGCTTGTCCGCCGGCGAAATGTCCGACCGTGCCATCGCCCACGTGATCGCCAGGCCCGTCGGCAGGTCCAGGTCGTTGTGGATCGCGTCCCAGAATTTGCCACGCCATGCTTCGGCTTCGCTGCTCACCGCGTGGGGAGACGAGCCGTTGCCGGAGACGTTGCGCCACACCCAGATACGGTTCCGCAGGCCGGTCAGCGCTTTTTCCGCCGCACGCAGCGATGTGAAGGTGAAATTCATACGGTGACGGTAACGCACCGTCATGCACAGGTACCGGAACGCCAACGGGTCGAATCCCCGCGAGGTAAGATCCTCGACGGTGAACACGTTGCCGGCCGACTTGGCCATCTTGGCCCCGTCCGCCAACAGATGTTGGCCGTGCACCCAGTAGTTCACGTGCTGACCGCCGAACGTGCCTTCGCTCTGCGCGATCTCGTCCTCGTGATGCGGGAAAACGTTGTCGACGCCGCCAGTGTGAATATCGAACCGCTCTCCCAGGTACTTGTGCGCCATCGCCGAGCATTCGATGTGCCAGCCTGGGAACCCTTCGCCCCATGGGCTGTCCCACTTCACGTCCCGTCCCGGCTCTGCCGCTTTCCAGAGCGTGAAGTCCCTGGGATCACGCTTCAGCGGGTCCGCTTCCGCCCGCACTCCTTCCAGCAGGTCGCCGCCGAAGTTGCGCGACAGCTTGCCGTATTCGGGGTAGCTGTTCACGTCGAAGTAGATGTTTCCGCCCGCCTCGTACGCCGCGTCCTTGTTCATCAGCGTTCCCACCATCTCCAGCATCTCTGGGATGTGGTGGGAGGCCCAGGGGAAAACGTGGGCCGGAAGTATGTTGATCCGTTCCTCGTCCTGCCAGAACACGTCCGCGTAGAATTCGCCGATCTCCTGGAGGGACTTGCCTTCCGCCAGAGCAGCCATGATCATCTTGTCGCCGCCGGCCTCCGCCAGCTCCTGCCGCATGTGCCCCACATCGGTAATGTTCTTGATGTGGTAGACCTCGTTGCCGTCGGAGATCAGGATCCTCCGGATCCAGTCCGCCATCAAATAGGTGCGCAGGTTGCCGATGTGCGCATACCGGTACACCGTCGGCCCGCAGGTGTACATCGAGACCTTGCCAGGCGTCATCGGTCGGATCTCCTCGACGTTTTTCGTCAGGGTGTTGTAGATACGCAACATACCTCTACCTCCGGCGGGAGCAATTGGCGCAAGTTTAGCACGCACGCCGCCCGGTTTGCACTCGCGCCGCCCGCCCGGTAACTGTTTAGACTTGCGGGGAAAGTGTCATTGCGAGCGAAGCGCGGCAATCTCGTTGGTTCCTCTTGGCTTCCAGCTTCCTGATCTAAAGGCGCAGCACGTTTGTAGGTATGAGGCGTCCGGCCACGGGGTCTACGGCCAGAAGCGCCTCTTCCAGCGTGACCACGCCAAGCAAAGTAGGCTCGCCCGCTTCGGCGAAGATCACCGGTGTGGAGAATTCCTGTCCCTCAAGTCTGACCATGGTTCTTCCGATGTCCACTGGCGCGTTGCTTCCGTCCGCCAGTTCAGACTGCACTGAGCGTTCCACCGGCACTCCCAGCCGCTGCAACGTGGTTCTGGGTACCGCAGTGAAGGTTGAGCCGGTGTCCACAATTACATCGATGTCTTCGAACCTCCGACCTTGCGGGTCTCCGATACCGATTGTGACCACTGCGGTTCCCATTGCATTGCTCCTCGATTTGCTGGATTGGCGGTCTATGCGCTACTCATCTGCCGCAACGCAAGCGGCGATCAACCCAATCCTGCCAATCCCATAATCCCGCAAATCCTGATTCTGACAACACCGCAGTTGAAAGCGGGTGCGCATTTGGGCAGGCTACGACCTTTGCACCCATGCCCATTTGCCTGACTCGTCCCGAGTGAGCACATCATCGCCAGGTGCCGAAGCGCGCCATTCTGGCACGCAGTTATAGAGATTAAACACGAGCCCGCGGCCGAGTGCCATCCGGTTGTGGAAGTTTGTGTAGCATAACTTTCCGTTGCCCGGATGCATCCACAACACGACAGGCGTGCCAAGTCTTTGGAAGAGAGATTTGGCTATTTCGAGAGTATTAATGTCGGGCGTAAGTTCGTCTTCGTGTTGGCGCTCGCATATGCCTTGTGGCAGCGGTGACTCTACGCGCTGGACTTCTAATTGGCCGGTGCGAGTCCTGTCAATCACTACTACACGGCCATGCCTGAAATCGAGGTTGGGGCCTCGTTCCCATAAGTAGGATAAGGCTTCGGCCATAGCCTTTTGGGCAAGGACTGTATTGAAGATATGTACATCTTTTATCGCCGCTTCCAACTCGGATTTCTGACGCTCGGTGAGTCCGCTCGATTTGATTGCCTCGGCCACTTCTTCCTTTTGTGTCTCATTGAGATTGGCGTTTGCCAAAATGCCTTCCGCCTCTTCCCTTTTGCCTCGCGCTGAGACTGGCACTTGCCAGAATATCTTGCACGTTATCCTGTTGCCTTCCGTTCAACCCACGCCCGTGGTAGTCCCACGCTACCCGACCTGCGACCATAATCGCTCCCAATGTCGCCAGCATCAGAGCGACGTTGGGCAGCAACTGCCACACTAACCACGAGCCAGCGAACCAGTTTCCCACGGCTGCGATGAACGCCAAAATTTCACATATGACTCCAGCCACCATCCATCGCGACCAAAAGATCATCCTTATGTTCGTCATGCGAGATGGCTCCATTATTCGCTTTGCGGTGTTTATCTATTCTACTCGCCCGCCATCTGCCGCGCCGCCAATCTCGATTGCACTTCGTTCACCGCACCGCGATGATCGCGCTGCGCCACGGCGGTACGGCCCTTTGCCAGCGGTCCGAGAACCCTTGAGATACGATCGTGCCAAAATCACTCCGCCGCCGATTGCGGCCAACCCGACGCAACAGGCCATCGTTTGCCGGAGCGTGACTTTTCCGTCCAGCGGGTTGCCACGCGCCATGGGAGCCAACGGTTCCATGTGAGCGTGAGTAGGCGCGTCCAGCAGTACGTGACCCCAGGCCCCGCCGAAAACCGATAGCGCCGTGGCCAATGGCGGTACCCGCGGTTCCATGTGCCAGATGCTTCCCGGCGCGGCTTTCGCGAACCGGTTCCACCATATCATCGCCGGCCGGAGCGCCGGGCGCATCAGCAACAGTGTGGCCACCGCTGCCAGGGTTGCCCCGGCGAATGTGTGCATCACCTTGTGGAACGACAGATCTCTGCGGAACGGATACCCGGCCAGAACTTCGCTATCGATCGCAACCTGCGTGAACGCGTAGATCGGGATGCTGAAGTGGCGACCCAAAACGGCTTTGGCGACCAGCGCCGGTCCCATGTGAAACGGCGTGAACGGCATTCCGGGCTCCTCCTGCTCAACAAATCCGTAGGGGCGAATGACCATTCGCCCCTACCGTACTTCAGCGCATGTCAATGACGCTTTACGGGCTCGGCGCTACCGCTGCTCCCGAGGCTTTCAGCGCCTCGATTTCCGCCGGAGAATAGCCGGCTTCCGCCAATATCTCGTCGGTGTGCAGCCCGAACCACGGGGCCGGCGGACCCAGCCTCGGCGGCGTCGCGGACAACCTGGCCGTCGTGCCGGAGTGGTCGACACTGCCCCAAACCGTGTGATCCCGGGTCACGACGAAGCCCGCGTTACGGACCACAGGGTCATTCCGGTAGTCCTCCATCGTCAGGTTGGGCGTAACCGACACGCCCAGCGGACGCAATTCCTGCATCCAGTGTTCGATGGTGTTGCCCCGGATTACCTCCGCGATCGCGGCGCTGTCCTCATGGATGTCGCGGAAATTCAGCGCCGATAGCAGCGACCCATAGGCGGCGCCGTCGGGACAGTGGACATATAGCCAACCATCTGCGGCTTCGTACAACCGCGAACGCGCCGAGTATCCTCGCGCGTCCACGCCCTCGACATCCTCGCGCTGGTACCCGTCATAGTCCAGGAAGTACGGCGACTGCAACAGTCCGGCAGTCAGCGCGAGCCCGCTGTCAACCGACTGGCCCTTGCCGGTCCGGTTCCGCTCATGCAGCGCCAGCGCCACGGCGTATGCCCCCATCAGGCCCGTGCCGTAGTCGTTGACGGCGTATGGCGACAGCATTGGCTTGCCGTCCCGGCCGCCGCGACGCACCTGCATCCCGCTGGTGCCCTGCGCCAGTTGTTCCCATCCCGCGCGCTCCGACCACGGTCCGTCGTACCCGAACGCGTTGAGCGACGCGTACACGATGTCCGGCTTGACCTTCTTGACCTCTTCGTAGCCGAGCCCCAATCGTTGCACCGCCGACTTGCGGTTGTTTTCCACGATCACGTCGGCGCTTTCAACCAGCTTCCAGAAAACGGCACGGCCTTCGTCGGTTTTCAGGTTCAGCATGATGCTGCGCTTGCCCCGGTTGACGTCGATGTACCCTACCGGGTCCAATATCCGTGTCGGGTCGTCGATCTTGATCACGTCCGCCCCGAATTCTCCCAGCGTGCGCCCGCATGTTGGACCCGCCAAGATGATGCACAGGTCCAGCACTTTGACTCCTTGCAGCGCGGACATCACGTCCCCGTGGCCGTTGCTGGGAGCCACGCGCCCCGGGGCGCTCTCCAGTTCGGACAGCACGACGTCCGTGTGCTCACCTAGTTTGGGCGCCCCGCCCCGTATTGCCCCCGGCGTGCCCCGCAGCCGCACCTGCACGCCCGGCTGCTTCATCGTGCCGTGCTCGGCATCCTCAACCTCAACCACCATCTTCGCGTCGACGGCGTGCTCGTGCACCAGCCATTCGTCAACGGTCTTGCACACCGTGCACGCCCCGCCCTGGGAGTTGATGTCTGCCTCCCACTGCCACGCCGTCCGCTCTTTGAACATCTCGGCGAACCGGTCCTGCCAGAACGCCAGCGTATCCTCGTCCACCGGCCGCCCGAACAGCGACGTCACTTCTTCGATCCATTCGGTCTTGCCGGCTGCCGTCAGGGTCTGCCGCGCGAACCGCTCGAACATCCCGTGATGATATATCCAACGCCCGTCGGAGCATTCGTACGGATGCGACATCACGGTCCGCGGGAAGTCAAACAGGTTCACATACTCGTAGTTGTTGAATTTAATGATCCGGCTTCCCATCGCGGTGAACATCGCCGAGTGCAGCGGCACTTCGATCCGCTGGCCCTTGCCCGACTTGTCCCGCGCGTTGATCGCCATGGCCACCGACACTGATCCCAACAACGCCGAAAAGGTGCTGGCGATGGGCAACGGTGTGAACAACGGTTGGCCGTCGCTTTCCGAGGTCTCAGGGTAGAAACCCGTCTCCGCGCTTATCACCGGGTCCCAGCCCGGCTCGCTGCGGCTCGGGTGCTCTTCGCCGTACCCCGGCAGCGAGCAATAGATCAGCCGTTCGTTGTCCGCCGACAATTCTTCGTATCCGATCCCCAACCTGTCGGCGACTCCCGGTCGGAAATTCTCGATGACCACGTCCGCGTTGGCGATCAGGCGGCGCGCATTGTCGCGTCCCGCGTCGCTTTTCAGGTCCAGGGTTACGGATCGCTTGCCCCGGTTCCAGGTGGCAAAGGCCGGCTCCGAACGCGCCGGGTCGCCGCCGGGCCGCTCCACCTTGATAACATGCGCTCCCTGGTCGGCCAGCAACATCCCCAGCATCGGGCCGGGCACGTACTGCCCGAACTCCACCACGTGAACGTCCCGCAAAGCGCCTGAAGTGCCGTTTGTAGTCATCGTATGTCTCCTTTACAACCGCACGCGCCCACAGAGTCCCTGTGAGCGCGACGCGACGATCTCGTCAAAGTATCCGGTACGCGGCGGCGGCGCATTGCGAACCACGGCAAATCTGTTGGGACGCCCGCGGCCGTTTTGGTCCTTACTTCCCGGCAAACCGTTTCGGGTCGCACCCGTCCAGGCTCACGTCGGTGTGACCGTTGGCCATGATCTCCGCTATTCCCTTGCCCATCGCCGGCCCCAGCAGGATGCCCTTTTTCTGGCCCCCGGCGCAGATGTACACATTGTCCCATCCCGGTGCCTGGCCCACGATTGGCAGCCAGTCTGGCGTCACCGGCCGCAGGCACGCTGTGTGCAGCATCTGTTCCGATGCGCTCAACGCCGGCATGAGCCGCACCGCTTTCTGCATGATGCTGGCCCGCGCCTCTTCGGTCAACGTCAGG